AGAAAGAAAGAAAGAAAGAAAGAAAGAAAGAAAGAAAGAAAGAAAGAGGAAGAAGAAGAAGAAGAAGAAGAAGAAGAAGAAGAACAAGAAGAACAAGAAGAAGAAGAAGAACAAGAAGAAGAACAAGAAGAAAAGGAAGGAAGGAAGGAAGGAAGGAAGGAAGGAAGGAAGGAAGGAAGGAAGGAAGGAAGGAAGGAAGGAGCAAGCAAAAGAAAGAAAGAAAGAAAGAAAGAAAGAAAGAAAGAAAGAAAGAAAGAAAGAAAGAAAGAAAGAAAGAAAGAAAGAAGCAAGCAAACAAGCAAGCAGGTAGGGGGTTTGACAAGCTTCTCCTGCAGGGGGCCCAGAGAGACTTCCAGCTCTGTTGTAGCCGGTTGGCCCTGCAGTTGTATCCTATTAGCAGCAGGGACAATTTGTAAATGAACAAGCGTGGTTGTGACGGAAACTTCATGTACACTGAAAGTGGAATTTTGTATCATTTTGGGATGTTATGGAATACTCTTGCTCTGAGTTAAAAAAACAAACAAACATGGACTTCTATTTCCCACCCATCTTTCCGCTAGCCTTCCCAGGTGAACGAGAGTTCCCTGTGCCCCCACAGCAGCTTACAAGTATGAGACTTCAAAGCCTAGTCATTGTTTCCCAAACTTAGGAACAATTTAACCAAGATTCAACTGAGTCCTCACTGTAACTATAAGTGGTTATGGCTTAACGTGTGCAGAGGCTGTGTCCAAATCCACACAATGAAGCCCTGACATCTGAACTGACAGCATTTGGAGATACGGCTTTGGAAGACTACCGGGATCCCAAGGATGCCATCATAATGCATTAGTGCTTATCTTTAGACAGCAGGTCCCAGAAAGGGCCCTATCTTTCCTGCCCTATTAGGACTCAGTGAGAAGGTAGCTGTGATGAATACCAGGGAGAGAACCTTTGCCCAACTCTGCTGGCATCCAAACTCTATCTCATTTTGGGGATCTGAGGCACCTAAGATGTACTCATTTGAATCCCCAGCATTAAAAGTGTGAACATGGAGCTGGGAGTGGTGACGCATGTCTGTAATCCCAGCACTCTGGGAGACTGAGGCAGGCGGATCACTGTGAGTTCAGGCTGTCTGGTCTACAAAGTGAGAAAGTGAGTCCAGGACAGCCAAGGCTATACAGAGAAACCCTGTCTTGAAAAAAAAGAAAAAGAAAAGAAAAGAAAAAAAAGAATGTGACACAGGGAATTCAGCCTGGAGTTATTTCAATGCCCACTCTATTAGCCTCAGGCTCTTTCTCTCCTCATCTACTAGAGAAATAGATTTTATAAATCAGTATATAAAATTTAAAATAACAGTTATCTATTATTCCATTAAAAAAAAAAAAGCCAGAAGGGCCAACTGTGATAGCACAGGCCTGTAATCCCAACAGAGGCAGAGGCAGGCGGACCTCTGTGAGTTCGAGGCTAGCCTGGTCTACAAAGCAAGTCCAGGACAGACAAGGGTACACAGAGAAACCCTGTCTCAAAAAACAAACAAAACAAAACAAAAAGCCGAATGGTCCTGCTGATTAGCTAAACAACTCAAAGATCCTGATTTCATTCAGAATTATGATGAATTCTTCAACTGAGCTCATAAAACTTTCCTTTTTTAAAACATCTACCACACAGCCAGGTATGGTGGTACACTCCTTTAATCCCAGCGTTCAGGAAGCAGAAGCTGCTGTTGTCTCTGTGTTCAAGGCTAGCTCTGGTCTAAAGAGCTAGTTCCAGGACAGCTAGAGCTGTACAAAGAAACCCTGTCTGAAAACAAACAAAACACTACCACACATTCTCCGTATTTTTCACATTTCTTATGGAAAGGTAAAACCCACCACAGGTTGGCATTTTTCTGCAGACATCGTTCAGGAATTTCTAATCCTAGTGTTCTGTGGAGAAAGGCAAACCATCCACAAAAGTATTAACAAACACATGTTGTGATAGGAACTTCACATCATACATAATTAGGAACCTGCTGTCTTATGCATCCTTGGGATGGTCCCAGGGGCTTCCTGTCCTGCTCATCTAGTCATGCATGGGAAGGAAACCAGAGCACACCTGCTCCAAATATGAAGGGCTATTCAGCTGAAGACAGGGCACAGGGGAGCTCTCTGCCTGCTCTGTTTTCCTAGAAACAGGACAGAGACTCACAAAAATAGAGACCCTTCTAATCTTCCCGCTCCGGTTCCTACCAAAGAGGAGGTACATTCTCCTCCACAGCCCTCCGCAGCTCAGAAACCGAGAATCTGCAGACTTTTTTCAACCAGCCTCCTCCCCCCACCCCACTGCCCTTCCCTGAATTCCCCTGGAAGCCTACAGCTGTTTTCCTTTGTCTTGTCATTGCTTTGAAATTTATTATTCTCAAAGGGCTGGCAGGATAACCCGGTGGGTAAAGGGATGACGGGAAGCCTGATGACCCAGGTTTGAGCCCAGAGACCCATATGGTGGAGAGAGAGAACTAAGGCCTGCAAACTGTCCTCTGATCTCCACATTGAAGCCATGGCACATGCACACACACAAAGGGTGGCCCCGAGAGGTCCATAGATTTGAATGCTTAGTCACCAAGGAAGTGGCAGTACTTGAAAGGATTAGAAGAATTAGGAGGTGTGGCCTTGTTGGAGGAACTGTCTCACTGGGGGGTGGGCTTTGAGGTTTCAGAAGCCCAAGCCACACCTAGCCTTTCTCTGTGTGAGGATCAGGATGTAGCTCTCAGCTACCTCTCCAGCACCATGTCTGTTGCCATGCCCAGCCATGATGAGAATGGGACAAAGCTCTGAGCTGTAAGCCAGGTCCCAGTTAAATGCTTTCTCTTCTAAGAGTTACCTTGGTCATAGTGTCTCCTCACAGCGATAGCACAGTGACTCAGGCAAATCATGCAGTGACATTTATTGTTCTTAGACAGTTAAACACTCTCCTGCCCCAGGACCCTGTGTGTTCTCCCACGTGATGTCATGTGTTGATGCACCTCCTTTTCTTATTACGCTCCTGTTTCAAGTCTCTGTCTCAACTATAAACTTAAGAGGACTGCGGGGTAAGTTATATTTTCTCTCCTTCACAGGGAAGAAAGGCTGAAGTCCAAAAAAGTATTCTGAGTTTATTGGTCAAATGATTGCTGGAGTGGGACAAATAAGCCTAGAGTAAGACAGAATTGTTTGCCAGAAGTGTTTAAAGGGAACATGACACTACATAGTGTTAAAAAAAAAAAAATTAAAACCTTAAAATTAGAGAGGGGGAGAAAGGTATTTTAGCCCTTGGAGGCTCTCTTTATCATTGGTTATAGAACAAGACCCAATTAAGGCATAGTCTACCAATGCTTTAATTAGCTACTGGGTCTCACAGAAATCTACCAGCGAATTGAAGATCACTAACTAGACTCACTGTTTTCCCCGGTCTTCAATCATTGTTATATTAATACCTTCTTTAGTAAAAAAAAAAATGTGGTTTTGTCAACCCTCATCAAAACAAGGGGGATAAAGTAGATAGGAGGAAGGACCAGGAAAGGAAGATGAAGCAGGAAGGCATTACACTGGGAAGGAATGCCCCTCAAGAGGGAAAAGCTAATACGCTGGGTCAGAATTCACACAAACAGAGTGTTTTTCTATTTGTGGTTTCTGTTTCTGATACAAGTTCTCACTACTCGGCTCACAACAGTCTTGAACTTGCGATCCTCTGGCCTCTGCCTCCCAAGTGCATCACCATGCCCAGCCTGGATGAGAATGAGGTAACATCTTTACTGACACAACATCTTATTATTTCACCTGTTCGTTTACTCTTACAGGCAAAACATAATTTCATTTGTTCACTTTTGATCTTAGTGATACTTCTAACAAAAGATAGCATTTCTCTTTGGTTTTGTTGATTTCTTCGCTGGGGAGGGGTTAGGGAGAGGGCAAAGGGCAGGTTGCTGGAGTCAGTTCTCTCCATTCACGTTGTAGATTCTGAGGACAGGACTCAGGTCCTCAGGCTTAGCAGCACGTGCCCTAAAGATGGGGCACAGTGCCAGCCCCTTCTTTTCCTTTCTGACAGTAACTATGTATTTGGTTCAAAGACATGGTTTGATTCTGGAGACATTCTGACTAACTTTAAGGGTTAGAGCCAAGGGACAAAGAGGAAAAATAATAAATTTAAGAATGGAGTTGAAAGTGTTCTGTTTGGATTTGGCTTTCTGCTTAGTAATTCATGTTGAAATTTCCTTCCTCACAGAACAGTGTTGAGAGGTGGAGGGATTTTTTTTTTTTAAATTAAGCCTTTTATTCTCCAAACACTAA